AATACTTAGTAACTCCAAGCAAAGAAATGATACAGTAGCAATCACAAAAAAAAAAAAAAAAAAAACAAGTTTAAAAAAAAAATCCTTAAGCCAAAGTCATGCCTGAGAAACAGACCCTGAAATAAGAACAGGTTATTACGTCTTTGTTGTTGATGCTCTCCAGACAAGGTCTCACTACGTAGCTTTGGCTGTCCTTGAACTCACTATGTACACTATGGAGACCAGGCTGGACCTCGAACTCAGAGTGCTGGGATTCGAGATGTGTACCACCATGCCTTGGCTCAGACTTTCAACATTACACTTTCCTATAGTTTCTAGAATTTGGACTCTTTTCTGGTTCTCATTCTTCAGAACCTTTAAGTGTGGAAATATGGAAAGGCTTTACTTATACACACACACACACATACGCATGCACACACTCACACACACACACAAACACCTCATGTAAAGCCCTTCTCTACAACACTAACCCTAAGCACTTAGCAGGAGGCTCTAAGAGAGGAAGTCGTAACAAACTGGAGGCGGGGATATTCGAGAGGAGCAGCAGCCTCTTCTCCATCCTCCAGAAATGGGGGTGTGGTGAGCTGCAGGGGAGCTGACTACCAAATGGCTGCCTCCTGTATCTGTTATGCAGATGATGTCAAGCCTTCTCTCCGGAGGCCTAGAGAATTATTAAGCAGAAAGGAGTCCAGGCGGTTTATTTCCCACTGGAACGAACTCTGCCTTTACATCATCGTTATGTGTGGATGTAGGCATGCTCACTGGTGGTGGGGCATGCCTGTGTGCAGCCCAAGTCACTCTCCAGTGTCCTTCAGGAGCTCCATGCCTTGCTATTTGAGATAAGGTCTGTCACCAGGACTCAGGGGTCTCAAATAAGGCTCTTTGGCTGGCTAGGCAGTCTGTGGGTCTGGCTGACAAGTGTGCACCATTTACATGGATGCCGGAGACAAAAACTCACGTCCTAACATTTGCATGGCAAGTGCTTAACTGACTGAGCTAGCTCCCCAGCCCTGGACCTTATGCTAGGCTGTTCAGATCTACCTGAATCCCTGGGCTCCAGCAATCCTTTGCTTCAGTCTTAACTGACTGAGCTAGCTCCCCAGCCCTGGACCTTATGCTAGGCTAGGCTGTTCAGACTGGCCTGAATCCCTGGGCTCTGGCAATCCTCTGCTTCAGTCTCCAGAGTGTTTACACCATGGGTCTGTCCTTCCATGTGCTCTAATGGCTTTTGAGTTTGCTCACATTTTAATAGTGGGGCCATTCTGTTACTGTTAAAACCTCAACTTTTGTAGAATAAGATCGCCGGGTACTTCATTCCCCAGAGGTTATGACTAGGCTTCCGGCACCTCATTCTGTAGTCAGCGCCTTACTTGGGCAGCCCTGTCTGTAGGCCTTTACCCTCTTTCAGGGAGTTCTTTCATCTTGCCAGATCGATCTGTAGACCACAAATCCTGACATTTGAATCTGATTTGCTTTTCACAGAGTGATTGATGAAGACCACTTTTCTTGCCTAAAATGATCTTTCCTCCTGTGGGAGGAAGCCCCGCCCTGAGAACCCAGGGCCAACACCATGAGGACAGTCAGCCCCTTTGCTATTCTACTTTCTTGACACAGTGTGTCTTCCATGCAAGGCACAGTTCAGTGCAGATTCAAAACAGACAGATGCAGAATTTGATCCAAACTTCCCTGTTAGCTGTATGTCCATGCAAGCCTTGGCCTGTTGGAATGTTGGCTTCATCATCTGCTGTTGCAGAATAATCCTTTATACTGCGTGAAGATGTATCGCTGTGATTGGCTTACTAAAGGGCTGCATGGCCATTAGCTAGGCAGGAAGAGGTTAGGTGGGACTTTGGGGACAGAGAGGAAGAAAGGCAGGGTATGAGCCCGATGCAAAGGGAGGATGCAGGGTAGAGGTGAAAGCCATGGGTCGTGTAGCAGCACACAGATTAATAGAAATGGGTTCACTGAAGTGACAAGAACTAGTTAGGAACAAGCTAAGGCCGAGATTTCATAATTAATACGAAGTCCCTCTGTGTTGTTACTTGGGAGCTGGCTGGAATGACAACCTTCTAATATTTTTGCAGTGTGGACATGAAATCAAGAGGCAGCACTAGAAGGAGTTTCTTCTGCTTCATGTTCTACTTGATTCATTCTTCTTTTTAAGAAGTTTATCTCAGAATTTAACCTCTTTTTGTCAGATTCCAAATCCAAAGTCTTTTAAAACAACAAGAGATGGGAAGATGGATTGGCGGATAAAGCACTTGTGCTGAGAGCCTGAGGAACTGAGTTTGACGTCCAGAACTGAAGCTCAAAGAAATATGGACATGGGGGGGGGGTGCATGCCTGTTGCCTCAGCACTTGAGAAGCAGAAGTAGCTACATCCCTGGGCCTCACTGACCAGTAGACTAGCCCACCTGGTGTTGAGTTCCCTGTTAGGGAGATGTGTTCATCCATACAGCACTCGCCATGCAAGCAGGAGGACTAGAGTTCAGGTCCCCAGCACCCACATAATGTAGGATGGATATGGTAGCCGGCCTGTAATCCTAACATGTGGAAAGTGAAGACAGGAGACCCCAGAGCACACTGGGTAACCAGACTAGCTGAATCAGTGAGCTCTAAGTTCAGTGAAAGCCTTGATTGGAAAAAAAAAAAAAAGGAGGAGAGCAGCTGAGGAAGACCACCATCTACCCTCAACTTCTGGCCACCATGCGCACGCTCACGCGTGCGTGCGCGCACGCACACACACACACACACACACACACACCATGCACACACAGGTATACATATCTATGTACACCTGCACATGTTCACACATGAGCAGCGTAAACCCATGTATGCACACACAGACACCATGCACACACACAGGTGTACATGCACTTGTACACATGCACATGTTCACACATGAGTAGTGTGTGATGTGGGATTCTCCTCTGCATGCTGTGAATATCATTGGTTAATAAAGGAACTGCTTTGGGCCTCTAAGGGAACAGAGCTAGGCAGGGAAAACTAAGCTGAATGCTGGGAGAAAAAAGGGCAGAGTCAGAGAGAAGCCATGTAGCCCCGCTGGAGATAGACTCCAAAACTTTTCCCGATAAGCCACAGCCACGTGGCAATACACAGATTAATGGAGATGAGTTAAATTAATATGTAAGAGTTAGCCAATAAGAAGATAGAACTAATGGGCCAAACAGTGATTTAATTAATATAGTTTCTGTGTAATTATTCTGGGGCTGAACAGCCAGGGATCAACAAGTGGCCTTCTTTACAACAAGTGTGAACCCATGTATACACACACACACCATGCACACACACAGAGGTACACATGCACCCGTACACCTGCACATGGGCACACATGGGCAGTGTGCACCCATGTATGTACACACACAGAAGTACACATGCACCTGTACACCTGCACATGGGCACACATGGGCAGTGTGCACCCAGGTATGCACACATACCAAGCACACACACAGAGGTACACATGTGCCTGTACACCAGCAGGTAGGCACACATGAGCAGTGTGTACCCATGTATGCACACACACGCAGAGATACACATGCACCTGTATACCTGCACATGGGCACACATGAGCAGTGTGCACTCATGTATGCACACGCACCATGCACACATGGATATGTACCTGGACACCTGCATGTGGGCACACACGGGCAGTGTGCACCCATGTATGTGCACACACACACACACACACCATGCACACATGCCACAAAACAGACAGTGTTTGATAAATGAAGCAAGACTATTGGACTATTGGAAATGACCTTTTTACTATGTCAGTAATGTTTCATCGGACTGAGTGGAATCTAGTAGGAACTTGCTAGATTTTCCACAGAGGTTCCTACATTATTAGAAGGTCTTAATTATGAAATAGTTGTGTAAACCCCTTCTCTATTTTTTTTAACTTTTACTTTATGTGTATGAATGCTTGCCTGCCTGCATGTCTATGTTGGTTCTCTCAGGTGCCAGAAAGGGGCATCAGATCCTTTGGGACTAGAGTTATAGGTGGTTGTAAGGGGTCATGTGGGTTCTGGGGATTAAATCTGGGTCCTTTGGGAGAGCAGTTCTTAACTGTTGGGTCATTGCTCCAGCCCAATTCCTTGTTCTAACTAGAAGTCTTTTTTTATTATTATTTTTACTTAAAAATAAAATCTCCACCTCCTCCCCTCCTCTCATTTCCCTCCCCCTCCCCCCTCCCTCCATCCTCTTCCCCTTCCGTCTCCAGTCCAAAGAGCAATCAGGGTTCCCTGCCCTGTGGAAGTCCAAGGTCCTCCCCCCTCCATCCAGGTCTAGGAAGATGAACATCCAAACAGCTAACTAGAAGTCTTTAACTTTAGTTAGAACCATCACTGTATGCTTGGTGTATTGTTTCACTACCTTTCTCTACTGGTAAACTTCCACTCAAAATTTATTTACCTTTTTTTTAAGGCTAAAAGGCATATACTTACAAGAATAAAGGCAACAGGAAGAAAAGTATTATCAAATGAAAATTTTGAAATAAGCTTTGCAAAGAGAGGAGAGCTGGCAGAATGGTAAATGCTGTCATGTGACTGGTACACATGACCCTCGAACTATATAGGTCCCCGTAGTCCCAGGCACCACACTAAGTGGCAATGAGGCAAAGGACAAAAACAAAAGGTGGGGACAGAGTGCCTGGGCTTCCAGATGCTGCCCCCACCTCGAGCAGCCTGCAAGCAGTTTCTGGGGCAGGAAACCAACGATGAACCCTCTGAGCAAACAGAAAGACCACAGCTAATGGAGGCAGCAGACAGTGATAATAAAGAGCATTTTCAGACTCAATGCTGGGATCCTCAGCTCACCACCCTGCTACTAGGAAGCTAGAAGAGAGAAGCGAAGCCTGGCATCTTAGAGTCTGGAGCCCTTGGGAAAAAATATCTGTGGATAAAGGGAGCAATTCAAAGCAGAGCTACACTCACTCTCCCAGACACCCACTCCGAATGGAAATAGAAAGTTACCTGAAAACATTATTCCTAATTCCACACTTGATTTTTGTCTCCTCTCTCCCTGGGCGAGCTTTCTGTCAGCCAGCTGTCAGCTCCTACCGAAGGAAATCAGAGCTATTCAGAGGCACATAAACACTGACGATTTGTTGCCCGAATCTCTTCCATTTGGAGTCGAGTTCTTTAATTCCTTGTTTAGAAATCCCTCCAGTGTTCAGTTTATCACATTTCACTGACTACGAGTTTGTAAATGAGTCTGGAAGGGATCCCACGCACAGCAACCTAGCTGAAGTCCGTTTGCAGGCAAGCCCACCACACAAGGTCTGCTAGAGTGCCTCCCCCCACCCCCACCGTGCTCGTCCAGTCCAGTCCACGATCTGTGAGCGCACCCTCCCAAGGTCATTCCTAGTACCTGCCTGCCTGAGTTAAACACTAGCTTCAGGGTACTGTATCTCAGTATCTCCCTGCCTCTTAGATGACAGACTTCCCAAGGCAGGGCCCGGTTTGGGGTACCTGATTTGTGTGGTACCCAACATGGCAGTGCCAAAAGACTGGCATGCTTGGAAAGACATCCTAGAGATGAATTTTCCTGTTGCTCGTGTCCTCCCACCATCCCCAGCTCTCTATTCATTTGGACAGGACAGTGATTTGCCTTTGTGCGCTCTCTTATTAAACAGTAGTCTGGCTATGGCGCTGTAAAATGGGCATATATCTCCAAAGCTCAAAATGATCCTTTCCATTGTCCTAGTTCCTGCCCTGATGTGGAAGAGGCGGCAGGGTATCATTCCTAAGGTGTGTGTGTGGGGGGTCAACATCTACATTACACTTAGTAGGTGATTGTGAGGAGTTTAACATTCGGAATGCATTAACTGCTCAGGAGTCCAGTAGGTGCTAGGTTCTGAACATGCATCACCCAGTACAGGTTCTGCATATATGAGTCCCCTGGGCTGGTGAGACCTGACAAGGAGAGGCCAAGTATCATACCCCAGTAGCATCTCCATCTTTTCTTAGTCCTCATTCCTGTTTGTTTCCTGATTGCTTCCAAATCCCGCACCTGCTCGCACAGGGACGCCTCCATCATCATCCCCAAGGGCTTTGACAACCGATTTTCTTGCTGGCTAGAAGGGCAGGGGTGCTGCCACAGCCCAGAGCGGGATTAGGGAGCCCGCAGGTCCCAGGGAAGAGTACAACCCAGAGTTTTGAGCCAATTATGGCTGGAGGTTTGCAGCCTTTCAATCAGGTCTTAAAAACCACAGTCCTGATGACAGCCCAAGGCCAGGCCGCGATTGGACCGAGGCCAGCCAGAGGTCATAAGCAGAATGTGTCTCTTCCCAGAAGGAGAGAGTCAGAGCCAAGCTAAGGGTGCAATAATTGGCCAGTAAAGTCGGCTTCCTTGGGTCTCCAGTCTTCTAAGAAATATTCAGAAACTGCCCAAGGGAAGGAGTTAGTAGATAAGGTTTGTTTCCCTTACAAAGCTACAAAGCTAGGATGTCATTTAGTTACCTATGAGCTGCCCCTTGGGCTCTGGGGCTAGGTAACAGAGTACCTAAATCCCAACTTCTCTCAGAAGATTCCCTTCCTCAGCAGAGACAGACGGGGGGATGGGATAGGGATGGGGATAGAAATGGCAAACCTGCCCCTCCGAAGTGTCTGGGAAGCGGCGAGGAGGTACCAAGGTGACTGGATTTCCAGGCTGTTGGGAAAGCAGGCGGCGTCTCCAAGGTCCCTGCTTGGTTTCCTCAGATTTTCCCCAGTTCAGGAGGGAGTAAGTCCAAGGTGCTGTAGGAGAAGGGCAAAGGAAGGTGACTGGGGCGACAGCGCTGGGGCGCGGATGGGGGCGGGGTACTCATTTCGTCGCCTCCACTCCAAGCCAGGGCAGGCGGTTGTTCACGAAAAGGGCTTGTGCCAGGAGGTACTGGGCAGTGGTACCCATGCAGCCCGCCAGCCTAGCACCCCGCCCTCGCTGGGGAGATGGCGTGTCAGAGCGGGCAGCACTGGTCCTCCTCCCGGGCACCGCCGTTCTGCAGCCCGCCTCCCGCTGAGGGGGTCTGGATGCCGGGTGCCAAGAATGTGCACGCTCGGAGAGCCGCGGGGACAGGACTGCCCACCCAGCGACCCTGGTTTCTGTAGCCTGAGCTTGCAATCGGCTCCGCGGCCCCAGCCCGCGCTCGGCACCTCTGCCCAGCGGCCACGGGCACCTGCGGCCACGCGCTCCAGCTGGACCCCGCGACCCGCGCGCTCCACTGGCCGAGCGCGCGCCGCTCCCGCCGCGGGGCTATCACCCCGCAGCCCTGGGCCCCGGGCCACTCCTCCAGCACCCCGCGGCCGGGAGAAGGCGGAATCCGCAGCCCCGCGGGGTCCGGGCGCGAGCCGCCAAAGGGAGCTGGAGACCCGCGGGGATCCGGAGGCGCGCGGCAGGGCGCGGGCAAGCCGGAGGCTCCCGGAAGGCCCCCGAAGCCCGCTAGCCCTCGGTGGCCCGCAGTGGTCCGCGGCAGCAGGGTCTCGGTCTCCGCTCCGGCAGCTGCGGTGTCAGATGCGTAGCAGGTACCGGTTCGTAGGGTGCACCGGGGCCATGCGGCCTCGCAACCCTCAGTGCCCTCTTCTCACAGTCGTCACCGCATCCCAAAGTTTCCCCAAGTGCAGCGGACGGACTGACCTGGGACGCGCTGTCGGATCCGCAGTGGTCCTTCACCTTCTCTATCTGCTCCCACCCCGAAGCGCCGTCTGAGCTGAACCGGGCGACTGTCTACGATTCCGCAGTATCTCAGTCCCAGGACTTCGATCTCAGTTCCCAGTCCGTGGCCCCGGGCCCCCGTCCCCGGGCCCCCGCCCCTGCTCTGCAGACATAGGCGGGCCACGAAGCTCTGGAACGGGAGCCGCGAGGCGCGCACCTCGCCAGACGCGGGGCTGGCGCTTCCGCTGGGAGTGACGCGCCCGCGCTCCACCGCGCTGCAGGTGGGGGCGGCGGGCCAGCACTGGCCTCGGGGGCCCAAAGATGCTCTCCGAGGCCCCGCCTTCGCTCCTAAGCCCCGCCCCGTCACCCTTCCAGGCAACGGAGCTTTGACTGCAGCGACTGGTGGGAGAGCAAAGGGGCACAGCGTGGACCAATGAAGATGACCCCTGGGTGCCCCTGGTCCGGGTCTTCGTCCACGTTCCCTTCCATCTCATATTCATTTTGTGGGTCTGAGATTCAGCTTTCCCGGGTCCCTTTTCTCACTCTCTTCCCCCTCTTCAAGGTAAAATCAGAGACTCACTTCAAGGCTGTTTGTGGGAGCAACCGTCTTGTTTTTATTTTTATGAATTTATGACCTCATTATACTCTAATTAAGGCTTAATAGAACAGCTAACAAAATTTTTGCAAAAATAAAATTGAGGTATTCAACTCCACAGAAACATCAAGAAAAAAGAAAATTAAGTAGATGAAAAGGTTTCAGCTCTTCATATATCTTGAAGCAGCCAGTGGGAGAAAAGATAGGTCCTTTTTGACCAGGTAATGCCAATCAAAGAGTTTCCTGGAGCCAGGCTGATGGTCTCCTCTGCCGTTTTAGCGCTGGGAAAGAGACCAGAAGACAGAAGGCATGAGTTCGCCCAAAGGGAAAGATAATATACCCCTAGATAGATATTTCTTTATTTAAAAAAAATTCGGGTAAAATGGTTCTTTAACTGAGCACTTGGCGCACACTCAAGGACAAGTTGCATCAGAGGTATGTTCTAAGAACGTGGACTGCCTGGGGTGGCTCACTCTTCCCTGTCACACATTCATCTGGACAGCCCCAGAAAGAACACAACAAACTTCATAAAAGTTTAAAGGCATGAGTCATCTCCCCTTTCTCCCTTTCTCTCTTTCTCTCTCTCTCTCTCTCTCTCTCTCTCTCTCTCTCTCTCTCTCTCTCTCTCTCTCTCTCTCTCTCTCCCAGCATTTGTACTTATGTATATATAGCACATATATTAAAAGGTATAGACCACATGTCCAGTGATTTCACATGATCAGAAAGAAGCATCATGCAGGTCAAGAAACAGAACACATTACCATGAAAAGAGCTGCTTTGCTCTTTGTGTGTTTTCTAACACCACAGAGAATGCGTCCTGTTGCCTGGCTTTCCCTCCTTGGTGTTACGTTTCAGACCATATACAATGCACAGCTGTGGTTTTCTCTTTCTCTAAGAAGTGTGATATCCCATTGTGTCTGTATATCTCGATTTAGTCTGCTCCTGGTAGACATCTGGGCTATTCTCGAGCTTGGGAAAGTTCAAAGATGCTGCTATGAACCCAGCAGGTGCTATCTCCTGCCCACCTGTATACACATTTCTGTGGGGGGCGTAGCTGGAAGTGGAGTTATGACTCATGGAGCTGGCATGTGTTCAGCTTCTGTGGATATTGCCAGTCTTCAAAGTTGATCCAATTTCACTCCCACATTATTAGTTCCTTATCGATTATTATCACAACCAAACCACATGGTATCTTAAAATAGTGCCGATCTATTTACTCGCTTACAGATCTGGCAGTCAGAAGTCCAGACTTAGCTTGAACATGACTAAAATCAGCAGTTGAACTGGGCTGGTTCTGGAGGGCTGTGGGGAAAAAAAATCTGTTTTCCCCGCCTCTTGTGACTTTCAAAGGCTGCCTCGGATTCCTTGGTTAGTAGTCTCTTCCTCCATATCATGTTGGGATCTCTCTCCCACTCCCCCCTCGTGTGTGTGTCTGTCTGTCTGTCTGTCTGTCTGTCTGTCTGTCTGTCTCTGTCCCTCTGTGTCGTCTCTCTTCCTCTCTCCTTTCTTTCCCCTCACTCCTCTGCCCTGGCTTGTCTTTTTCTCCCCTGAACCCTCTGCGTCCTTCTCACCTCTGACTTTCCTGCCTCACTCTTGGTAATTATCTCTGTAATTGCCCTGGGCTCACTTGGATAATCTGCCACCTCGAGATTCATAATTTAATCACACCTACAAAGTTCCTCTCCCCGCAGAACGTAACATATTCATGGGTTCCAGAAATGAGGCTGTGAACTTCTTTGGCAGGCTATCATCTGGCTTGCTACACCCACCACTGAAGCATTGGAAGATGTTTGCTAGAGACAAGAGATGACTGGGAGGTGGGGATCAGGAAACATGGAGGATTTTCCCGTGGACCCGGTGCTGTGTCAGGTCAGGAGACAGGAGGGTGGAAACTCATTTCTGGTCGCTACCCCAAGGAGCTCACAGAACGAGAGCTCAGGATGCTTTAGGCTAGAAACACCTATGCTGAGCAAAAGCTGCTGTATGGGATGCTGTGACCTGGATGTGCTCCTCCCAGTGAGAGGTTGAAATGCACATGCAATGTGGTGCTGTTTGTACATAGTGTGTTGAGGAGTGATGAGTCCGGAGAGCGTGGCCCTTCTGGTGCGACACAGCCCTGGAGAAATGGCCCGGGGGGGGGGGGTCTCTGCACTCTCCACTGTGTGAAGAGCAGTGTTCTCCCAAGGATGCTGCAGCAGAACCATCTGAAACCACATGAGCATCCCTGTCCAGATGCCGAGCCTTTGGACTTCCCAGAGTCCAGAACCCTGAAAAGTGCTTTTCAGTGGCAAGGTCCTGTGGTCAAAGGAAAGTGTCCCTGAACCAGACTGTGTCCCTTCTCATTCTCCAGCTCTTGGGACTTATCTGTCGCAGGACTCATAGAGGAATCATGAAGACTGACTTACCACAGGAGCCAAGGGGAGGCAAGGACAAGAAGGGGTGACCTCTGTAAGGCTGGTCCCCAAAGAGGTTCCAAGACACACAGCTTAAGTTCCTAGATTAAACCCATCTTAGTCCAGCAACCATATATGAAAGGAGACAGGTTGGATGTTATATCATATTTTGCCAGCAAGACCATCTTGGCTCCAAGGTAAACTTAGGAGGGGAGCCAGGAACAGGAAGAGCTTTGTGACTCTTCCCAATAATCGTTGAGTCACAGAACCTGGTAAGGAGGCTCCCCCCAACCCGAAGAAGGGAGAGCAGAGGAAGCAGAACAGGGCAGGGGCTACAAAACTTCTTGAAGGTACATACACTTCATTCTACACTGAAGGTAAAGGTAGATGCTTGGCTTCAATGAGCATCTTTATCATAAACCTCGCAATCTGCTTTTGTCTTCTAGAGTGAAATTGGGAATTTTGGTCTGCTGATAAAAGGACTGCCACAGGTTTGTGGGCAGCCTGGGCTACACAGCAAGACTGTCTCATAGTGGAACAAAACCCTGAAGCCAAACAAGCAAAAACTAAATGGAGTAAAAGTGCTAGAAGAGTTAGCAATGAGAGCTACTGGCTCCTTCCAAAGATTGTGCTTGATTGGGGGATTTATCTCAGCAACAAAGCATCTACCCAGTGTGCATAAGGCCTTGGAGTCTATGCCCAGCATGGATTCCATGCACCCACCCATGACCCCTAATCCAGTATGTACTCTGTCTTGCCAAGACTCAGCTTCCCATGTATCTGCCGAGACAGTCCACAGCTCTTGAAAAGATGCCCAGAAAAACTGGCCTCCAAACAGCCTATGGGATTTTTTTTAAAAAGCAATGAGATACAAATTGTATGTACGAACCAAGGATTGGTCAGCTCAGGTGTTTCTCTGGGCTGGGGGCTGGGCCTCTGTAACTCAATGTGCCCTGCAGGTATGTAGTATTGTGGCTCTTAGGGCTTGACAACTGTCCTTCAGAAGTGAGAGGCCAATTTTTTCCTTCCTGTACATTGGCCCATTTGATTTTATTAAAAGGCTATAATTTTCCAAAGTTTGGATCCCAGTGCTTTGTTTCTTGGCTTAGTGTATAAGCTGTTGTGGAGACGGCGAGATGAGGTTATCCAGTTTTGTGAATGTCAGTGACTGGGTGAAAGCCCTGTCCTGGGACAAAGAGACTCAGAGTTGATGGTTAGGCTGCTGTGCATCAGGATAGAGAAGGTGGTTCTGTGTCTCATGCCTTAAGGGAGTTCTGGATAGGACGAGGCAGACCTAAGGAAGGAGAGGTGACCGCTAAAGCCTTGAACAAGGACAATTGTCCCGTGAACCTTGGAATGTCCAGGAACAGAATCTACAGTTAAATATCAGTTAAAATAGCTTTGGATCAATTTTAGTGTTTTAATTTAGTGTGCCAACATTTCCTCACATACGTCTGGGGCAGATGGAACTGGCTTCTTTTTCAATCACATTTACTAGCTTTGGTCTCATGTTCACAGAACGACTGCTTAGCTTCTTGACATATCCACGGTGCAGGCCTGGAGGGTCAGGGTCAAAATGAGGAAAATGAATAGCAACTGTGTGTCCTTTGTTTGATTAGAAAAGCAACGTGTTTCCTTGGTTCCTGTCTAACCCGTGGCTTCTGCTCATGGGCTCTGGACTGAGCTGGATCACAGGTGGTCTCTATCTTTAACAGAAGCAAAATTCATTTCATTTCCCCTTCTTTCCTTTCCTTTCCTTCCTTCCTTTATCTCATGGAAAATGTCCCTGGAGTCGAGGTCCATCAGTAAAAATGGCAGAAGAGCATAACACAGGACGGCTGTTTAATCTTTGCTGAGCAATGACCCTCACAGGCCGTAGGAGCTCCTAAACCAGAGGGTTACTTTGAAATATTGATGAGTTCATTTTTACAAAGCAGAATAGCACCAGAGAAGCATTTGCTAAGGCCGTCAGTAACGTGGAGCCTGCATCCATGGCTCTGCAGTGAGTGGGGCCAGCCCCCAAGCACGGCGGTTTTGATGGCGCTTCTCTCTGGCAAGAGTGCTCCCTTAAACACTATAACCTGATTTTCGCCGTGCCTGTGAGGATTTGGAGCAGGGTTGGGGCTTTCAGGTGACACAGTATGTGCCTGAAACCTGGGACTGATTCTCACGGTGCCCTGTGATTTGGTCTGGGGCTAAGCAAGCTCTTCCAGGTGGCACTAAGAGCAGGAAGAGGGAGAAGC